TGACCGCACCAGTGCATTCCAGCCTGGGTGACAGAGTGAGACCCTGTCTCAAAAAAAGATGCCTAAGACATAATTTCTATGACAGAATTTCTCATTTACAGCTTCCCCTGAGACCATCTTTCATTTCAGTAAACCTTGCTCTTTGGGGGTTAGATGTGAGATGAAAGTGTCATGCTATATAATGTTCCCTGGCTCAGTCCTACACAGCGTGTCCTGAAAAATGGGTCTTCAGTCACTGTCAATGCACCAGGGATAGATATACATAGTACTGAAAGGCGCTAAATATTTAGTAAGTTCTGGCTTGGTTAGCTCCCTTACAAGGAAAACCTTGCAGCAGTCCATTGCAGTGTGAGGAAGCCTTGGCCATGCCTCATCATATTTCCCGCCCCCTAGAGGACATCTGCCTCTCTCTCCTGGTGCAGTCGTGCCTGGCCGTGTCTGGGCTCCCCTCCTGCTCTGAGGCAAGCGCATGTCCCCATTGAACACTGAGTCTGAAATTCCCTGCACACGCTTGTGATCCCGTGCGGAAGGAAGGAGCAGGGACAGCCCCTTGACTGAGGAAGCTAACAGTGCCCCTTCTAACAATAAGGAACAAGTCTGGCTGAAATGCAAATATCCAATTTGCATTTCAGGGCGCAAGGAGGGCGCTTGCTTAGAGAGGCTGTTAGCTTAGAGATGCTGTGGCCAGAACAGGTCAGACTTGATCTGCGGAGCTCGGTTACCCCGGGCTTCTGCTGTCACTCAGGATGGAGGAGGCGGGGCCTGGTGCCCCATCCAGTCAGGAGCGCTGGGGCGGGGCCCTGCCTATTGTCCGTCCTAGAAAGGAGGAGGGGTCCGCTCCGTTGTTGCTGCGCAAGCTGAGGGCGGGCTCTCGGCTTTCTTGCTCCGAGAGGGACCCTTCCACCAGGGCTTCTGTCGCTCTGTATCCTACACTGTGACCTACACTAGTCGCAGGAGACACACAGAGGACGCCGGAACGTCCTGGAAGCCGAAAAATGGTGCGTGTGAGAGACCTGGCGTCTGGGCGACTGGGAGGAGGGGCAGGAACCGGCGGTGGCGGGTGCCGGGCCTCCACGCGGTGACACGGTGGTCTGGGACCGAGTCCCGTGGCGCAGCTCGGCCCTCGGTACCCTCGGCCGCAGGGTTTGGCTGGGCCGGCAGCTGGGACCCCTGGCGTACTGTCCCATACCTGCGCAGCGACTGCAGCCCCGGCCCCAGAGCCCTCTCTGGTCAGCTCCGTGCCCGCAGCCCCGCGTCTCCCCACATTATGCCGGAGCCATGGGGGGATCCCTCCTCGGGTGTGGGGTTCGTGTGGGAGGAGCAGCGGTCTGTGGGGCTCCCAGCCCCCACTTTCTCCTGTTAAACATTAAACTGGCCGGGCGTGGTGGCTCACGCCTGTAATCCCAGCACTTTGGGAGGCCTAGGCGGGTGGATCACGAGGTCAGGAGATCGAGACCATCCTGGCTAACACGGTGAAACCCCGTCTCTACTAAAAATGGAAAAATTGGCGGGGGTATAGTGAGGCAGGAGAATCGCTTGAACCCGGGAGGCGGAGGTTGCAGCGAACCGAGATCGTGCCACTGCGCTCCAGCCCGGGCGACAAAGCGAGACTCCCATCTCAAAAAATAATTATATATATACATATATATATACTGAGATATGTTAACAAAGATTTGATTTGAGCAAACATCAATTCATGAATGAGAAACACCCAGTCCTGGCTTGTGGTTTGTCAACGGAAAAAGCCAAACTATGTAAAATAAAGAAGTTTATTCAGAGCCTGTTGGAAATAAGAGCTCGGAGTTGGAAATAAGAGCTCAGAGTCGCAAGGAAAACTAGCACTCAGCAAGGCAAATGTACTTCTGCAGGCGGGTGCTACTCGTAAGTCTGGCCACCAGGAGAGCACCCCAAACAAAGGAGGGAAGGGGTTCTTACGCTAACACAGTCAGTCCATGCTACCGTGTCCTGTCTCCACTGGCTGGAGTCAGAAGACACAATCTAAGCTGATCCCGATTGGCTATTTCAAAGAGAGCAGAGTTGTGGGTCACAGCGGCAGGCAAGGCAGTTTCAGCAGGAGGAGCTCTTTCAGAGTGAGGAACTAAGGGCAAAGGGGACTCTTTCCCAATAAGAAACAGGTGTGGGTTACAGATTAGGACTGGTGGGAAGGTTGTTTACTGTAACTGGGGGGAAGAGGAACAAAGAACAAGGAAGTTAGGCTTTGAAAATAGAAAATGAAGAACAGGGAAGTGGAACAAGCTGAACATTTGAAGAAGAATTTACTATATCTAACAGCCGAATAGGAGAGACTTTGGCCCAGGGAAACACAACCCCAAGAAGCCTGGAGTAAGTGGTCCCTAAGCAGCTCATGGCAGTTTGGTTTTATTCATTTCATGGAGACAGGAATTGTAGGAAAATCATGAATCAATGCCTGGAAGGTGTAAGTTACTTACACCAGCCTGGGCGACAGGAGACTTTCAAATAAAAGCAAAAGTACCTTCCCAGCTAAGTGAAGCGACGGGCTCTTGGCCGAGGAGATCTCCACGAAACCCTGAAAACTGAGTTCCTCTGTATGACAGGCTGGGAGGTGAGACAGGCCTCCTTATACCCTCTCCCTTTAGGAGTTTAGATGCAGCAACTGATACATTCATGTAAAGATAGACATCATCAGACTGGAAAAATGAACTCCTTGGGGCAATAAGATACCAAATTACAAATAAGACACCAAATTACAAATAAGACCTAAGTCAAGCCTTATAGTTCTTAAAATCTAGAGAAACAGATCTGTTTTTTTGGCTGGGATGGAATCATGTGGCAGATAACAGACCCCCTTCATTACTCCTTCCTACTTCCTCCAAATTTTATTGAAAATATATACATTTAGGCCAGGCATGGTGGCTCAAACCTGTAATCCAAGCACTTTGGAGGCCAAGGCGGGTGGATCACCTGAGGTCGGGAGTTCAAGACCAGCCTGACCAACATGATGAAAGCCCATCTTTAAAA